TGTGGTTAGTGTTTTTGTGTCTCGTTCACGTGTCAGTCTCTGGAATCAGAAAGCGCTCATCTACATTTTGTTCTAAAATTCAAAGCATCTCCTCCATGTGTTTGAATCCTTACCACGTCTGGAGGCGGTGTCTGTGCTCCGTGGGAGGTGGGGGGCCGGGGGCCGGTCCCCCCACGGGTGGTTGGGCTGTTCTGGCCCCGAAGTCACCCGTCCTGCCCCGCTGAGCACCGTCACGGCCCACAGGGGAACTTCCGGCACACGGAGACCCACAGCGCCGTGTCCCGCGAGGAGCTCATGATGGTACTGGCGGGCCTGGAGGAGCTGCACATTCGCGCGCTCTTCTCCCAGACCTCCTCGGCCGTCTCCCTGCGCAGGGTGGCGCTGGAGGTGGCCGGCGAGGCGGGCGGGGGGCCTCCAGCCAGCAACGTGGAGTCGTGCATGTGCCCTGCCAACTACCTTGGGGATTCTTGCCAGGTGAGGTGGGGGCAGGCGGCCACCTTCCGTCTCCCTGTTCACCTCCCTCCCGCCGGCTGATCTGTCTGCCCCTCACCTGTGTCCCTGCCTGGCCCTCCGTACGCACGGCTGCGCCGTATCCCTTCACTGCCTGGTCCGCCTGCGTCCGCGGGTCCACCCCGGCGTTGCCGCGTCCCACGCCTGCCCTCCCTCCTCCCCTTCACGCATTCGTCCACCTGCTTGTCTGTCCGAGGGGTTCGTCACTGAGCACCCGCCCACTCAGGCATCTGGAGGAGAGAGAGGCGGCCCAGCCCACGTTGGGGGGCTGCTCACCGGAGTCAGGGCGTCCATATGCCTTTGGGGATCTGACTTCATGGCTCCAGCCGGTCGGCGCAGGGTTCCTGAGGGCCTGAGAGCGTGGTCCCTCGTCTGCGCTCTGGGGCTGGCTCTGCTTCCTTTCCTGACCGCTGTGCCTCTGCCCTCAGGAGTGTGCCCCCGGCTATTACCGGGACGTCAAAGGTCTCTTCTTGGGTCGCTGTGTTCCCTGTCAGTGCCACGGCCACTCAGACCGCTGCCTCCCCGGCTCGGGCGTCTGCGAGGTGAGTAGGGCCCAGCAGAGGCCGGGCAGCCCACCGAGACACAGACTCGGGGAGACCAGGGCCCTTGGATCAGCGGTTGTGGCCACACTGGGGTGCGGGTGGAGGGAGGTGTCCTGGGCGGGGCACCGGCTGGTCTTGGGCACAGAGTCCCTAGCACGGCTGGCGGGAGGGCTGGTCAGACCCTGCTGTGAGGAGCAGGGCCTGTGTCGTCAGCGCCCCCAACTGTGCCTTCCGCCCCAGGGCTGCCAGCACAACACCGAGGGCGACCGCTGCGAGCACTGCCAGGCTGGCTTTGTTCGCAGTGGGTCCGAGGACCCGACGGCCCCCTGTGTCAGCTGCCCCTGCCCCCTCGCCGTGCCTTCCAACAAGTAAGCTGGGCCAGCCGGTCCAGGGTCCCCCCAAAGGGCGGCTGGTGGCCACGCTCCCTTACAGCCCAGTGTGGAAGGTCACCATCCCCTACCCGGTTGGGTCAGCACTGCCGGGACAGCTGAGGTGGGCTTTCCGGGTCGGGGCCCCTGGTGGATGCACCGCGGTAACAAGACCATCTCCGTCCCCACAGCTTCGCGGTGGGCTGCGTCCTGCGAGGTGGCCGCACACAGTGTCTCTGCAAACCCGGCTATGCGGGCGCCTCCTGCGAGCGGTGAGCTAGCTGGGCGTGGGGGCGGGGGCTGTGGGGGGCGCGCGCGAGTCGGCATGCATATGGGTGG